AGGCTGAGAGGTGAGGGGTGTCCCCAGGGAGCTCCCCAGCTCTTTAGGGAAGAGCTCTCCCGTTCTTCCCGTGCCTGGTGGGGCTGGGATGGCACCGTGAGCTCCCCACCCCGCAGGGATCGGCGGCACCGGGAGCGGGAGCGGAACAAGAAGGAGCGGGAGCGGGATGGACACCGGCGGGACAAGGACAGGAAGAGATCCAGGTGAGGGCCCCCCCCCCCGCCTCCTTTTGGGGTGTCCCTGCTCTCCTGGGTGGGAGCAGATGGGGGTTCAGTGGCTGATCCCTCCTTGCCTTGCTGGGAAGTTTGTCCCCGAGCAGAGGGAAAGACTCCAAGTCCCGGAAGGAGCGGGATGCGCGGAAGGCGGAGGAGGAAGAGGAAAATGCCCTGAAGAAGGAGAAGGTCAGGAAGGGGTTTGTTTGGGAATGCTTGGTCCCTGTTGGGGGCTGCTAATGACCCAGCCCCACATTCCCAGGCCCAGCCCCTGTCCCTGGAGGAGCTGCTGGCCAAGAAGAAGGCAGAAGAGGAGGAAGAAGCCAAGGTAGGAACGGGATCTTCTTCCCTGTTTCCAGGCTCTCTGGGTGGGGCTGCCCCATCAGGGTTCTCCTTCATGCAGGGGTGGATGTTTGGAGAGGGGGGCTGGGGGCTCCTGTCCTGGTGCAGCCCCAGCAGTGGGGGGGTTTGCTGCCCACCCTGCTCTGAGCTTTTCCCTCTCCTGTCCCAGCCCAAGTTCCTGTCCAAGGCGGAGCGGGAGGCCGAGGCCTTGAAGCGGCGGCAGCAGGAGGTCGAGGAGCGGCAGCGGCTGCTGGAAGAGGAGAGGAAGAAGAGGAAGCAGTTCCAGGAGATGGGGAGGAAGATGCTGGGTAAGGTGTCATTCCCACTGTGAGGGACTGGGGCGGGACTCAGGGGAAGACCCCTGAACCCCCTTTCCTCTGCTCCCAGAAGACCCCCAGGAACGGGAGCGCCGGGAGCGCCGGGAACGGATGGAGCGGGAGACCAACGGCACCGAGGACGAGGAGGGAAGGCAGAAGATCCGGGAGGAGAAAGACAAGAGCAAAGAGCTCCACGCCATCAAGGTAGGGCTGGGGGCTGAGCTGGGGGGAAGGGGGTGTTCACAGACTCCTCACTGACCCTCTGCTCCCCCAGGAGCGTTACCTGGGGGGGGTGAAGAAGCGGCGGCGCACGCGGCACCTGAACGACCGCAAGTTTGTCTTCGAGTGGGACGCGTCCGAGGACACGTCCATCGACTACAACCCCCTGTGAGTGCTGGGCTGTCCCCCGGGAGTGTCCCTGGGGGGCTGGGGCACCTCCAGCCCCACCCCTGACCTTCCTCTGCCCCATCTAGGTACAAGGAAAGGCACCAGGTGCAGCTGCTGGGCCGGGGTTTCATCGCGGGGATCGACCTGAAGCAGCAGAAACGGGAACAGTCGCGGTTCTACGGGGACCTGATGGAGAAGAGGAGGACGCTGGAGGAGAAGGAGCAGGAGGAGTGAGTGTGCCTGGGGTGGGGGGAGCTGGGAGAGCAGCCAGGGGAGGTTT